ACTGAACTGATATCATCATCGTCATCACTATCGAGATCAAATTCTGAATCTGAATCATCATTGTCATTCTCAAAAAGTTGTACGTTATCATGTAATTTTGATTTTAATCTCAGATGATTGTGCAAATATTCACTCAACGCATTCATATCAAACAGCTTGTGCTTCTTCAATAACTAAAATATTCAGAAAAAATTACAATCAATACAATTGTTCATTCTTTTCTTCTTTAAACTACGCGAATCAATCTTTTATTCGGATTTACGAAGGAATCGCGCAGCATATCAAAGAATTCATATGTAAATGATAGACAACTTACGGATGAAATGTTGAGATTTTCTGAAATACTAACAGCTGATTGATAAGCTTGTATGACCGTGTTTTCCACATTCAACATGCTAATATCAATCAAATTTTGATTGTTTCCTGTTATATTAACTGAGATATGTTTATGATGAACAGGAAACTTTAGTAAGAATATTGATTTATCCTGAGATTTAAATCCATTTAGAATTGAAAGCTTTCTTGATCGTCGTAAAAAATCTTCTACGGTGTAATTTATGACTGTAGAGAAAATTCCACTAAGTGAACGTGTATTGCGAAAAGTTGATTCGCATGTTTGCGATGAAACAGATGGTTGTTTAATACTTCCACAGGTAATTGTTTTTGTTGAACAAGAATAATAAGATAAGTGAGGTAATGAGCATTTAGCTCCGCGGAAAAAAAATGCAGTACGAGTAACAAAATATCTCTCACGACAATTTTTTCTGGATTTTGTGCTGGATGAAGATAAAGATGATAATCGCACAAGCAATAACCATACCCACCATAAACGTAGAAGAAAAACAGCAGTCCAAGCACCTTTTAAACCTACACAACAAGGAAAAACAAGTAGATCAACGCTCTCCGTATGCATAGTATTTCTAAAAGAGTTAGCTGTACCACTGATATTAATAGACAGGAAATTATCAGAACTATAATGTTGTTTTCAGTAAAAAACTAAACATGAATTGATATTTAGTTAAGACTGAAATTTGCAGCAAAAAGATTACTTTTATTTACAACAACTGAGTTAGTTCAATTAAAGAGCATCTCAAAGAGAACCTGAATAATGAAGCTGAAACATACGTTCTTCAATTGAAGTTGTTGGTTCGATATACGAAGTTATGATCAATTTTATCAATTTTAAATACATGTAAGTTCCACTAGAATTATCATCAAGAGCTATTAAATTTAACACATCACAAGATGTAATTCTCACACAAGAACGAAAATTTTGACGATCTGTTGGTTTTAGATCACTTTGTGTCAATCCATGATCTAGCCGAATCATTTCTTCGTTATCAAGTAATTGTTGTAAATGTTT